AAAAAAAAAAAAACCTGTTCCTTTGTGATGCGTTTCTCTGGTTGTGCTTTCAACTGCTTTGTACTTTCTGCTGTATGTTTCCCTCTCTGTGATTCGTGATTTTGGTTTTGCCCATTTGTTGCTAGGGTGGGTAGTTTGCTATGTTCATGCTTGGAAAGCATGCACCTGGTCCTAAAAGTGACCAGGTTCATGCCACGCTGAGTATATATTACCCATAAACACCACCTATCAATCAGGGACAAGCCACACTGGTGATATGTTCATCCTTGGAAAGCATGAACCTGGTCCTAAAAGTGACCAGGCTCATGCTTTCTTAGCATGAACGTAGCACCAGCGCCCCAGTTGTGCCTGCTCCCCCAGTTTGGCGTATCTGAAGCTATTTTTTTGTGCTTCCTCTTTTTCAGGGTTGGTGTGCCAGAACCTCTGAAGGTAGGTCTATGGATTATGGACAAACGGAACCAGTACTTGGCGACAGAGCAGGCGCACGAAACAATATGCCAGCTGGAAGCTAGCCTGGAGCCGGGGATCTATAGGATCATGACGAAAGCCTTTTCCTTTGTGAACAAGGACGGCGAGCTTTGCAAGTTCCCCGACAAATTTGGGACCGTCTTGCCTCGGCGCTTCGTTCTCACAGTGCATTCGGAGAAGGCAGTGGCCGCAAAACTCTCTCAAGATCCGGTCATCAGTGCTGCGAAGCAACGGGAGAAGGAGCTGATGCTCCCTTCGGAGCCTGCTGTTGAAAGCCACCGTCCTCTCATGTCTGAAGCGGCGCGACCACTGTCGTGTGCGGGTGCGATCGAAGAACTCGCGGAAACGGCGTTCGCGCCTGCACCTCATCCTGCCGGCTTGGAGTTCAATGCGAGGATAAAGTTTGCTTCGCAGGCGACGGCCGAGCCGCCGAAGGCGGCGGACCCGGAGGTTCCGGAGGTCACGGAGCAATTCTATTCCTCGGTCAACGTTCTGTCGGTTCATGCCGTGATGTCAGAGGCCAAAACGGCAGCGGAGGAGGACGAGGACCCAACGTGGAAATCGGTCGACTCATCCATAATGCAACCCGTTCCAGACGAAGAAGCTATGAAGTGGATGCTCGCAAATTCCGCGTCGTTGTTGCAGGCTGCATTGCTCAAACGCCGTGAGGAAGCCGACACTGCTTCAACCCTCGGGCACGGTCCGGATCAGGATCAAGCACCGAAGCACGGTTTATGGCAAGACCCATTGCCAAGCATACCAATTGAGACTGAGTTGGCCATTCTACCAGAGCGGCGGCAGACTCCCGGCGAGGGCCTGAATGCGGAGAGCGGTGTGGCCGCAGAGCCCTTACGTCCTCGGGAAATCTCTCCTGGGATCGGCCCCGTCTGCCCATTGCGGGAGGTGGAGCATGTGGGTTCTACAGACGACGGATGCATTTCATCGATGGGAGCTGTAAATGCTCACGCAAATGGTGGCGTGCCTTATGAGACTGTGAATATGGACCAGACTGAACAGATGATGACAGTGGAAGACTCTCCTTCGCAGTCGCTGAACGCAATGTCTGACGCTAATTGTGACGTCCATCCTGAGACGGAAGCCGTTCTCGCGCATGCTGAGCAAGATATTGCAGACATTTCAGATGATGCAATTGTATTGAGCCCGTTCGACAGCGTTGAAGAGGAGCAGAGGTATGGGCAATCACTCGGGGTGGCAGAAGAAGACCTACCGGATCTTTGGAAGTCGGCACCGTGGCAAGCTGTGGAGTCTGTCCTCCCCACTAAGGGAGTCGAGTCCTTTGGGATGCTTGCTGCCGCAAATGTCCAACCACCCATAGATTCATCGCATGACGCAAAAATGGTGGAAGCGGAGCATATCTTTTCGACACAGGAAATGTGCCTTTTCAGCAACAAAATAGATCCACGGAATATCCGATATGGTCTGCTTGGAGATTCGTGGTTCTTGTCAGCAGTAACAGCTCTCGCAGAGAGCCCTGCCATCATCGAGAAACTGTTTCTCCAGAAAGAGCTCTCCCCCAATGGAGTTTACCACCTCCGATTCTTCAAGAGTGGCCGGTGTGTGCCTCTCTCTCTCCATCTGTCTATCTATCTATCTATCTATCTGTGTGTGTTGGCTTCTGTGATGTGCGAAGTCTACCTCATCTTTGGCGTCTGCTATGGTCTCTCTCTCTCTCTCTCTCTCCCTCTCCCTCTCCCTCTCTCCCGCTCTCTCCCTCTTTCTTCCTCTCTCTCTCTCTCTCTCTCTCTCTCTCTCTCTCTCTCTCTCTCTCTCTCTCCAGCTTCAGTGATGTGCAATGTCTATCTCATCTTTGGCGTCTGCTATGGTTTCATTAAGTGAGTGTGGCCCCTTTGCCTACTTATTAGGATATTGAATCAATGATCAATCTCTTTTTGAAATTTAGAGAATTTTTGAGAAATTTAGACCCAGATCTTTTTCATTTTTTTCCGAAAGGGCGACGGCCTTGACATATCATCCTTGAGCAGGCCAGCCCCAGGTAATTCAAAATCATTTTATTGAAATTTATTCCGATCTCATTCATTGCATCTGGATTCCCAACTTGCAGCTGTATTTCAACAGTTCATATTTGTGCCCCAACTGCGCTAACTGAGCTACGATCATTGTGTGAACCCAGAATCGTTTTCCTCTTTTTCCTTTTTCAAAAGGGCGACGGCCTTGTTGAGATATCATCATTGAGCTGACCGGGCCCAGGTAATTCAGAATTATTTTTGTTCTGTTCATCTGATTGAATCTGGATTCGAAGCTTAAGCATAGGTCTGTATTTCAACAGTTCATGGGTCTACCAACAGAGCCAGAATTTTTAATGTAATGTAGCGAACAAATCGTCAATGTGCCAAGATACGGACTTTTTTTTTTTTTTTTTTTTTTTTTTTTTTGTCGACAATCCAAGGTTGTACCTTGTTACGTGCCAATTTTTTCTTTTTTCTCTGACACAATTTTGGACGGTTTTTTTTTGTTTTTTTTATGTGTGTGTGTGTGAAAATGGACGTTGGTATTGCATGTTTCTGCAGGCTGGTTCAAGTTGCAGTGGACACGAAAATTCCATGCGCGGACTCGAAGCCCATCTATGGTGAGAGCTGTGTGTTCACAGTACCACACTGAATCCATACTCGTACTAGCACTTTCTTAAATGTATATGGCTGCAATTACGGCCGAAACTGGATGAATCTGACTGCAATCATGTCCAGAGCTTGGTAGAAAAGTCTTAGGGCAGACTCATGCCAGGTACTCAAAATCTTCCCAGAAAAGGGCCAGAATCGCAAAATCAGCGGCCAGATCCAGTCCTCCTCAAAGACGAACTCGATCTGGCCGTTCATTTTGCAACTCTGTGATTTTGAGGGTCTAGTGTGAGTATGCCCTTAGTGTGGTGAGTATACCCTGAGAAACAGCCATTTCGTCAAAATTGACATATTATGTGTAGCACACTGAACATGTTCGGAGCTTTTCCGAACGTCCGAACATGTTCGGGTGTTCGGCCGAACGCCACCCGAACGTGTTCGGCCGAACATATTCAAAAAAAAAAAAAAAAAAACCTTTTTTTTGTTTTTGATTTTTAACTCGAGTTTGGTTACGAATTTGACCAAACCTCCAAGGCAAAAGTTGTTTGTATTATTATTTTGCATAACATATATTTTTTTCAGATTTTTTGGAGAACTACTTTTTTTTCCTTTTTTTTTATAATGTTTTTATGTTCGCGTTCGGAGAGTTTCGGCGCTCGTTCGGTCCCGAACGTTCGATGGTACACATATTATTATGATTCTAATTTTTATAATTTTTTCAATGATTTTATATTTTATTGACTGAAATTGCAACCAACTAATTGGCCCAAAAACTTGTCAAAACTGACAAAAAGCATCAAATTTTTTACCTCCCGACTCCTGAGAGAGGTCCACCGTTTTAAGAATGCTGGACCCCCCCCCCCCTCCCCTCAGGAGCTTAAAGTTTTGACAATTTTGGGCCCGTTCAGTCAGCTTCAACTGTGAAATGCGCCTGTGGAACCTGCGGGCAGTTGAAGTCCCGCCGTGGTGACCAGGTATAGTAGCCTTGGTGTGCTATGTGAACGGAGTGTGCGTGCGTTGTTGAGTCCGCAAGGACACACCAGCCCTGGGGGTGGGCTGGATATCACTACCGGTATGGATCCAGTTTTTATAACACCTCCAAGGGTTGTAGTGGTTACGAGACTCCGTTCCTGTGGCAGAGGGTGCCGGTTCATGACCTGATGCCCGTAAAAATCCCGTTGGAATCCAACAGCTTCAACTGTCCAGTTCTTTCAATAAAATATGTAAAATAATACTAAAATCATCATTATGAAAATGTCCATTTTGACGAAATGGCAATTTAGAGGTCAGTTGTTTCTTCTCAGGTTTTGAGCTCTGGATAGATGGACACTACATTGGGAGTACATTCTAGTGTGGGTTTTGAACTCTCAATCACTAGGAAGATGGCAGCGTATTTGAGCGTATATATGTTGTTCTTCTAGTGTAGGTTTTGAAATCTGGACACCTGCTAGAAATATTACAGGACATTCAGAGTACACTGTCCGTATCAGGTTTTGAACTCTGGATCTCTATAGAAAGGTGAGGTAGGCGAGGAGCTCAACCATATGTTTAACTGTACGTTAACGGGGACCCCCACTTTCAGCTTGTGAGTAACGGGTTGAAAACTGAAACTGAAATTAGGGTTTGGGCCCTTCGGGGGTCAATGTTTATGGTTTTTTTAACTTTTTTTTTTTTTTTTTTTTTTTTTTTTTTTTTTTTTTTTTGTTTGTTTGTTTGTTTGTTTTGTTTTGTTTGCCTGTTTTAATTTTGGTTCAAGGTTGCTGTGTGCCAAATTTGGTATCGTTTGGGGCATTGGAATTTCCTCGTCTGAGATTTCTGAAATTTCCCAAAGATTTCTGAAATTGGAATTTTGGGCAAATTTCATGAAAGTGCACTTTTTTGGCAATCCACTCTATGAATTGGTGGCAAGTTTGGTTATGTGCAGCGGGGTAGACCGCAACACAGCAGGCACAGTGGTGATGTGCCCAGAAGTATATGCTAAAGCAATGGAGAGAACATTCTGGGGAAATGAAGGTTTCACCGCGGTCTGGGAGAAAGAGGACGAACTGCTGAGGCGATGTGAGAGGGAATTTAAACAGCAGGGTCTGACGGAACTGGGAAAACGGGACAGGAAAGGGAGGTTCGGCCGAGCCTACGTTATGCCCAAGCAAAAAGACTAAGCAGGTTCAGGCCAATTACCCCCTCTTTCACTGAACCCACCAAGGTAGCAGGGCGTAGAGTCGCCAAAGCATTGAATCACCTGCTGTTCTTACTACCGAAATCGATGCAGTTTAACTTAAAATCGACAGGACTTCTGAAGGATGGGGTGAAGGAAGCGAATAAGTGGGTGGAAGGAAAGGGGGAAGGCAAGCTGGTAGGAGCTGCTTTTGACATCAAAGAGATGTTCAGCCAGCTCCCACATAATTCGATCATTGCGGCAGTAGACTGGATTCTCGATTGGTACAAGCAGAAGGGGAGAGCTATGGTTAATGTACGGATAAGGGGAAAAGGTGCGGCTTTTGCGAAGAAAGATGGAAACGACCTCTGGATGAAGGTGGAGTTTGACCTGATCAGAAGAATGGTGGTTCGAAATGCGTACGATGATAAACTGACATTGAAACGTACGGACGATGGGGAGGGCACATGGGATTTCTTGGGGACACGAATGGTGATTCAAGGGAGGGAAGTGTCCTGCCAATGTTTCCCGAAGAATTTTGATCAGGTATGATCCGAGGATGAGGTTTTCTCCTACCGTACCTTCCAGGATTTTGAGTCTTATTCGACGATCAGACAGAAGAAAGCAGTCGTGAGATGCGCGATGCACAGAATTAAGAATATGTCTTCAACCGACAAGTTAGCAGGGTCGAGCCTGCTAACGGTGAAGAGACAACTGCGGCGCCAAGGGTATCCGGCATGGATGTTTAACGATTGTCTGGGGAATTTCACCAGAAAGCACGCCCCGTCATGGGAGAAATGGAATAGGATACTGGGCAGCTGGTAGGTGTCAAAGTATCGTAATTACCATTATGGGCAGTATGGGGTTAAGGGTACGGGATTATGGTTTATCGAGGGGCACGGGATTATTATGGGTACGGGACTATGGTTTATATGGCATATCGATTTGTTTAATGATTTGTTTCTGAAAGGCGTAGGAGATTCGTATTTTGGTAGAAGGCAATAACAAGAAGCAGAAGTGCACCGGGCGCACTGACTGATAGCAGTCCGAAGGGGCGTATCCGATCGTAGGAAGGTTTTATTTGGTTTTATTTTATTTCTCTGTTTGACGGAAATAAAAGTAGTGGAATATCAATAAAGTGATGATACTGCTCGTCAGATACCACCACTGGTAACACAACTGGCGTATTCAGTATGGAAGTCGGGAGGAAAAGGCGGGAGTACCTGGACGTTTGGGTCTGGTGGGTATCACCACTGGTACTACCACTGGTATACCCATTGCGTGACATCAAGGAAAAAGAGCCGCGTGGCCGACGCGTTAAAAAAGGAGGGACGCACTGACAGATAGCAGTCCGAAGGGGCGTATCCGACCGAAGGAAGGTTTTATTTGTTTTTTTTCGGTTTGGCGGAAATAAAAGTAGTGGAATATCAATAAAGTGATGATACTGCTCGTCAGATACCACCACCGGTAACACAACTGGCATATTTAGTATGGAAGTCGGGAGGAAAAGGCGGGAGTACCTGGACGTTTGGGTCTGATGGGTATCACACTGGTACTACCACTGGTATACCCACTGCGTGACATCACGCGCGCGATCTGTCTTTCAAGTTAAGCGCCCAGCAGTGGATTTTTTCAAAAGTAGCAACAGGGTAGCGAAAAACGTTGTGTTTGTGTTCTTACGTTCGGGACTATGTACGAGGCCAATATCGTAGGAACTATTACGGGTAGCAGAAGGCTACCTGTGAATCAGTGTGGAGAAGCAAAGTATGATCGAGTAGGCTCCTGGGAGATAGGTACAGGCGACGTATACTATATAAGCTACTCATTAGGAACTAAGCAAGCATCTCGAATTGTCCCCCTGATGAGGTCACTAACTGGCGGTGGCCGAAACTAGTAGGGGATGCCAGCTCTTTCTTCTCAGGAGCATCACTCAGTCTTAGCGTGGAGGAGGAGGTGCCCGTAGCTTGGCTATGGGGTTTTTGCGCCTTGACGTTCTATTTTTCGAGAAAAACGTTCGGGATTTTTTCACATACTAAGCTATGGTAACACGGCTTTGTGACTATGCGTACGGTCAGTTTTTGCTCTGATTTTTCTGCAACTTCTCATCATCAAGTTTGGTTAAAATGAGGTCTTTTTTTAAGTTTTTCAGTATTTTTACTATTGCCTCTTTGAGTAGAGTAAATTGTTCCTCAGCAGGTTTTGATTCTTTTGAACTCTGGCTCTATAGAAAGGTGAGCTGAATTCCCCCTCGGGACATCCATTACAAAAATTGGATCGATACAGAGAAGATAGATTAGCATGGCCCCTGCGCAAGAAAGGATGACGCGCATAAAATCTGAAATGGTCCTTTTTTTTTTTCTTTTTTTTTTTGGGAGGAGGGGGGGGGGGGGGGGGCCAGTTCATAAGGAAAGGAAAAGAAAAGAAAAGAACGGTGAGCTGAACAACAACAATTCAACCTTGTTTAACTTTCCCCTAATGAGTCTTTGACTCTTTTGAGTCTTTCACTCTTTGAGTATATTACTATATTGTTCTCCGGCGAAACTCCGCAGATCTTGAACCTGGCATAGCTAGAGAAAGGATGACGCGTAGTAAATTGGAAGTGCATTGTTCTTGAACTCTGGATGTCCCGGAGAACAGAGAGAGTAATAACTAAACCACCAGTGCATTTGCCCGCGATGAAAAAAAAATAAATGGCCACGCCAGCCAAAAGGAGGCCCTCGCTGGTTTGTTTTTTTTTTTCTGGGGTGCACGGTGCGTTTCCAGCGCTGGAGAAATGTGCGTCGGAATGAACTTTGTTGGCCCCTGCTGCGCAAGGATGACGCACAATAAATCGAGAAGTGGCCCAAATTTAGGAAAAAGAAAAGGCTAAGATCAGGTGCAATGTATCTGTTCTGATCAGTTTAATATCTGATCCGTGGTCCATTGGGCCACAAAAAAAAACAAAACAAAAAAAAACAAAGCTAAGATCAGGTGCAATGTATCTGTTGATTCTGTTCTGATCAGTTCAATATCTGATCCGTGGTCCATCGGGCCACAAAAAAAAAAAGAAAAAAAAGCAAGGCTAAGAGCCGAAGATCAGGTGCAATGTATCTGCTCTGATCAGTTTAATATCTGATCCGTGGTCCATCGGGCCATATAAAAAAAAAAAAAAAAAAAAAAAAAACTTTGTTGGGGTATCATTAACAAAACTTGGCCTGAGCCACACTTGAACTAGCCTGGCACTTTCCTGGATGTATATGACCGCCATTATGGCTCGGTTCAATGTGTTTGAGTGATTATGCTTAATGGATCATTGTTGTATGATTTGCAGCGCACTCAGCGGCAAATGAACTTCGGGGGTGTCGTTCAGAGAAGGCATGTGTGAAGCTCACACCCTGAGTTGCACCAGAAATACACTGGGACTTTCCTGGGTGTATCTGACTGTCATTATGGCTAGGTTCTTTGGTCGACTGATTATGTTGATGGATCGTGGTTGGATGATTTGCAGCTCACTCAGCGGCGAACGAACTCTGGGTGCCTCTTTTAGAAAAGGCATATGCGAAGCTTCACGGATCTTACGAGGCACTTATTGGTGGTTGTCCCGCCGATGCGATTGAAGACCTGACGGGGTGTCCGACAATGACATTTCGCTTTTCGAGTCCGAAATTCAAGCGGTTCGAGTCCACAGGAGGTGAGTTAGTAACTTAGTATACATAGTACATACCCATCATCACCCTCTCCTAAGGGCGTACTCAGACTCAGTATTTTTTTTTTTCTTGGACTGAATCAGGATGTAATTATGCCCAAGTTCAGCGATTTGAGTCTACGGTAGGTGAGTTGGTCACCCTCATGGGTACTAACTGAATTTGGACGTAATTGTGACCACATGCATCCCATGGAAGTCGTAGCATTAAGATGCTCTCTTTTTCTTTTTCTCTCTTTTTTTTTTTTTTTTTTTGTTTAGAAAAGCACGAAAGTCTTGAGATACCATCGTGAAACTGCTGATCGGGCCCAGGTAATTCAGGAAGATTCCGTTCATCTGGTTGGTTCCCATCTGTTTGTGGGCACATCGACTGAGAGCTAAGACCATTGGTGATGCTGTCATGCTTAAGCCACCTCTACATAGGTGGCCCTCCTCTTCTTTTCTTTTTTCACTTCATCTTTTCTTCTTTTTTTTTGAAAAAGGGGCGACGACCTTGAGATATCATCTTCAAGGTGACCCGCCCAGGTAATTCAGAACTTGTAAGATAAGAACAGCAAGTCAGAAACATCGTCTGACCACAACGCTTGCATACACGGTCGTGCTACTTACGGCGAGATTTGTATGCGAAGGCGATCTTGAAATTAGTTCCCAAAGAACAGATATGAACGAACAAGCACATCAGCCATAGCGAAGGCTATGGCGTCACCTCCCTTCCTCCGCCAGGAAAGAGTGAAACGCATGAGGTTGGAGGCGCCTGGCATCCCCAGCCACCGCCAGAAGCGGCCTCATCAGGGGGATTTCGAGATAGCTACTACGCTACAGTACTAGTCTAGTTATACTCATCCCGCAGGTTCCGATTCCCCTGAGAGTTCGGCCAGACGGGCGCCGAAAAACTGGCCGCCCCTCCAAAAACGAAGAGCACAGCCTGATGCATTGCCCAGGTTTCCCGCCCATTTTTCAGATCAGTGTGCCTGCGTGGCCTGATCGCGTTCCTCACAGTATTACCCCGGTTCAGTAGCCACGTTTTTTGCCAACTTCAGGTTCCATCGATATTCCCGCTGGCCTGATACTCACCTACCTCGTATTATTACCCAGGTTCAGGTACCACGTTTTCGAAAGGGCGTATTCACGGCCTGAAAAAACCTTCCCATACCCTTGCATCATCACACAAATACCTATGAGGTAGCCATATTCCCGCCATACTTATGTTCAAACTCAGGTCTTTATTTAAACAGTTTATAGGTGTACCAAGTGAGCAAGGTAGGCGCCCGCTAGTGAGACCCGCTGGTGAGACCCCTCCTTTTTTTCCCAAAGTAGCGACTTGCCGTAAAAAGTCCAAGAAAGTCAGTTGGTATACCCACGAACTCTTGAAATGCAGACCTCTATGTTCGATTTTGAGTCTTTTTGAGAGATTTCCCAAAAGACGGGCAGTAAGCATTCTAAACTTGGTATTCGTCGCATGCATGTTGCCTTTTTTTTTTGTCATATGTCTCAGGGTTTTGGCCATTGTTGAAAGGTTATTGCGATCAGGGATTCATGCTTATGGCATCTGCAATGGGCCCAGCTGAGTGTGCCGGAGCCAGTGCCAAGCGGGAGGGTTGCCTTGTTAATGGTCGTGCTCATGCCATAGCAACGGTAAGGCTTTTTTTTTCCTTTTTCTTGTTTTTTTTTTTTTTCTCTGGTTTTCTGGTCGCGGTAAGACGTTTCCTCCTTCATTCCCTCATGTGAAGCTTGTTCTTTCCCGTCGTCAATTTCTTCTTTTTTCATTTTTTTCTGGTTTACTTGTTTGCATCTTAAAACCACCAGTATTTGGGGGGGCTGTCCGCAGAACCACGTAGTGGTCACATTTTCATGCTGGACCATACCGGCCGGGGCCAAGTGTGCTAAAACTGGTGCCGAACAGGAGGTTTCTCGCGTTAATGGGGGTCATGCTTGGCGGGAGGGTTCCCTTGTAAATGGTCGTGCTCGATGGGAGGGTTCACTTGTTAATGGCCGTGCTCAATGGGAGGAGGGTTCGCTAGTTAAAGGGCCAGAATTTCGGAGTCCGTGCTCAACGAGAGGGTTTGCATGCCAGCCATTGTCCGTGGGCCCGTTTCAGAGGCCGTCCGCCGCCTATGTATTTTATCAACGGTGTGCAAGCATCCATAATTTTAGGAGAGGCTCGATCGGATTCTTCTCGACTTGGCTGGGGCCATGTACTGGTGGTTTAATGGTCAACCATGATCGACCATAAGAAGAAGACTTGTCCTCGTTCCTTCTTTACGAAGTCGGTTCTTTCCTGTTTTGTATTTCTTTTCCATCTTTCTTCCGCCGTTTACTTGTTTGCGCGCTTAGACCACCGCCAGCTTCACCTGAATAGAAGGCGCGGTCGTTATAGCTGTATTTGGGGCAACTTCCAGACCAGGTGCAGCGATAATGACTGGGCGTTTTATTCAGGTGAAGACGGTAGGTAGTACATGGGGGACTGCCACCAGGGCCTCGCCGGGTAGCACAGGGCTAGCAGTTATGTTCGGCATTACCAGACCAAAAAGGCTGGATGCCGCCCCTGTAGGCACACTGACCCTACCAGGCCAAAAAGCCGGTGTAGGCCTGGACTGCCGACATTTCAATAGTAGTGCAAGGGGCGGTGGAACGGAGAGCATCAGGGGGGGGGAGGAAGGGGGGTGTTAAACCTAATGTCTATGGAAATGACAGAGTGGAGTGTCGAACTGCTTCCTTTCTGATTTCTGGATGTGGAAATTTTTAAGAGCGGTTGGTATGTTTGTTGTTTGCTGATGCGCAGTTGAAGGAGAGCGGAGCTCATCGACTTGTTTTTGTACGCGATCCGCAAAAGAGGTTCAACTGGAGAGGAGCTTGGGCACCAAGAAGCGCAACGTGGGCAAAATACCCGCAAGTGGCAAGGGATATTAAACCCCTCCAAGAGGGGTTGGGAGATGATGGGTTTTGGATCTCTTATGCAGACCTGTTGAAGGTAGGTGCTGCTCCTGCTGGCTGTGCGTTTTTTTTTTTTTTTTTTTTTTTTTCCTGCTGCTGTCCCTATCCCCCTTTTTGTTTTTCCTTTTCCTTTTCCTTTCCTTTCTTTTTTTTTTAATTTATATAAGGGCGACGGCGTGGAGATATCATCATTGAACTGAACGGCCCCAGGTAATTGAGAATTATTTTGATTGCATATGGATTTGAACTTGGGTCTGATTCGTACATATTTCAACAGTTCATAGGTGTACCAGCTGAGCTGGGTCTGTCGGTACATGATCAAAGTTCATCAAACCCTTCCCACATATGTGCAGATTCTGTTTAAAGCATTTATTTTATTTTATTTTGTGTGTGTGTGTGTGTGTCTGCAGAAGCTTTTTTTTTTTTTCCCAAACAATCTGTTGATTCTGCCGATCACATTGAAACGACAAGCTGAACAGAGGACAAACAAAAAAAAAAAAGAAGGACAAGCTGAACAGCGAAGACACTGCAATCGTCCATGCACAAGTGGTTAACGGGGACCCGACCCCCCCACTTTCAGGTCCTGACTAACGGGTGCAAAACAGAAATTACTAAATTGGGGTTTGGGAACTTCGGGGGTCGAATGTTATGTTTTTTAATTTTTTTCCCAATTTTTTTGTTAACGTTGAGCCGCAAGTGGATATCCCATGTAATAATATCCATTTGTGACTCTGGGACATTGGGAATAATGTACATTGAAGGATGCCTCACGTGGAGTGTTTTTTTTTTTTTATTATTATTATTATTATTATTTTTTTTTTGAATGCTGTAGCTGGAGTTAGTATTTTTGCAGAGAGCGATATCGAGGGAATCAAAAGGACTGCCTGCTAATCACGTTGAAAGTTGACATGAAGTGCCCATCAGAAAGATAGAGCATGTAAATAAATTAAAAAAAAAAGAAAAAAGAAAAAAGTGTAAGTTACTAAGTGTGACAGACCAGCGTTAACCCACAAGAGGATAATATATTAATAATATTATTATTGCATGGGAAATTGGACAGGGAAGGGATGCTTCATGTGTGTGGGGTGTGGGTGCTGGGATCCGGAGTTTCTCATTTGCAGAGCCCATGAGATTGAGGGAATGAAGAAGGATAGAAATAGCCGGTTATATTCGTCATTAGTACTCATTCCCAAGCTGCTTAAAGGACAGACGTAGCCTGCCAGGTTTGTCATTGGCCTGCTGGTCAGTCTCGAACAGAAAATTGCCTGCTTTTTTTTTTTTTTTTTTTTTTAACTGCCGGCTAATTTTTCTCCTCCGGGAAGTTTGCCGGCTAATTTTGCCCCTCCAGGAAAAGCGCTACCGAGATTATGACACGGAAAAAGCGCTACCGAGCAGAAATTGCCGACTAATTTTGCCCCTCGGGGAAGTTTTCGGTTCAAGTCCAATCGTCTCTTCTAGCACTTGAGATTATGACACGGAAAAGGCACTACCGCGCGGAAATTGCCAGCTAGTTTTGCCCCCCGGGAAGTGCTGCCCTCAGGTGCATCACCACCGCGCCACCTCACCCCCCGGAAAAAGCGCTACCGAGCAGAAAGTGCCAACTAATTTTGCCCCTCCGGGAAGTTTTCGGTTCAAGTCCAATCGTCTCTTCTAGCACTTGAGATTATGACACGGAAAAGGCACTACCGCGCAGAAATTGCCAGCTAGTTTTGGCCCTCCGGGAAGTGCTGCCCTCAGGTGCATCACCACCGCGCCACCTCACCCCCCGCAACTGCAAGAGACGATTGGACTTGAACCGATAACTTCATAATTTTGCAAAACATGCATTCTAATTTCTAGCACTTGAACTGCGCCCCCGACGGAGCGGAGGAAACAGGAGTTGAAGTTTAAACCATGGTAACCCCGGACCCGGACACCGGACACTTCCGGACTGTCTTCCGGACCAGTGTCTGGACCGGTCCGGACTTTCTGGTGTTCCGGACACCGGACAGTCCGGACATGCATCCGAGGTCCGGGGATGTCCGGACCAAAAGGTGCAGGGGGTGGAGGGGGTGTTGGCAGGGACTTACCTGCTTTGCACTTCGGAGCAGCAGAGCACCTGTTGTGCCGCAAATCAACAACCAGATTGAACTACCAAACATGCAGAGTTCTGAACAGTGCAAAGCAGGCACAAGACTAAAAAAGCAGAAAAAAAAAAAAAATCAAAAAAAGTTTGAAAAAGTTTAAATAACTTAGAAGTTTGAACTTGAAGAGTGTTCAGACTACCAGCACTGTCAGTGCTCTCTCTCTCTCTCTCTCTCTCTCTCTCTCTCTCTCTCTCTCTCTCACACACACACACACACACACACACACAGACGCGCGTGCGCGTCAGTGGGATGTCTTGCGCAATTTAGACAGGGGTTCTGATTCGGAGTCGCCCTCTTCCTCCGACGAACAACCATCTTTCTCGTCGCCTTCGTCCTCCTTGCCACTGCCATCAGTCCCATCGCAGCCACCGCTCCCGTCGTCACCATCGCCGCTGCCATCGTCACCATCGCTGCTGCCATCACTTTCGTCGCTGCCGCCATCATTTTCATCAGCGCCGCCACCACTTTCATCGCAGCTTGTCCCTTCTGGCGCTACTTCCTCCTCTTGCACGGGCTGCTTCTGCGGTCGACGCCGCTTTCTTGTGAGACGTGCGGGTGCAGGACCTTCTGCCAAACTGCCAACTTCCACGTCCTGAGCCTCCTCATCACCTGTCCCGCCTCGAGTTGCAACCTCCTTCCGAGCTCTCCCTCTCCCTTGTTTGGCCGGGATCGAGGGCGGTGCACATGCAATTGCCCTGGCAGCTTTGTATTTGTTGGCATGCTCAACGGTCATGGTCCTCGTGGCGTGATCCAACTCATGCAAATGTTGCCGGGCCAGAAACTTGGAAGCCTTTGTGGCCTTCCTCCACGACTCGTTGAGTTGTCTCTCGAGTTCAAGCAGATTGCTGCGCAGCCGATGACGTTGGATTGTGACCTCCTCTGGAATAGGCATTTGTGGTGCTTCAACRGGATTGTCGTCGTCGTCGGAGCCTGAGTCATCGTTCTCACCTGCATCACTAACAGGCTCTGTTCTGTGCAGCCAGGCACACCACTCCGCCAACCGCATCCGTGCATCCTTGGCCATCTCATCCCGTGTGAGATCTTCCACCGGTTCATCCTCTTCCCATTGCGGTGAACCCTTATCGGCCTTCGGCTTCTTGATCAACGCATCCAACAAACTCTGGTTCCATCTGTTGAAAACCAGCGTGCTAAGCTTGATGGCGCCGAGGTTGTTACGGAGACGACTATGAATTCGTTCGAACAAGCTTCAGTTCCTCTCGCAACAAGAGGAGGAGGACGCTTGTCCAAGCAGACGAACGGCTTGCTTCTGGAGGATGGGCATGTCACTGCACCACTTCCTCCACCACCTCGCCGGCTGCATCAGACGGGCCTGCGTCCTTGCATCTTTGCAATTGCCCCAGTGCCCTCAATCCAACAACAGACCTCTGCGTCGACCTCAACAAACGACGATTCTTTGCACCACGAGTAAAACCACGTCCAAAACCCATCTGCAACCTCTCCATCCGTTTCTGGTCGCGACGCTCTGTACTCCGGATCCAAGAACAGCGCAGCTCAATGTAGCGGTGATGTCGTTGCATTCCAGCGCCGCATGATGATCTCCTCGAGTTCGTCCTTCTCCGCTTCTGCAAAGTGCTTGCTCTCCCTTAGTTTCTCCACTGCGCTGTCCATACGGGCATACACCTTGCTAATGGTGGGGCCCATGCCATCGACCTTCTTCAAAAGTTTGAGCAGGTTCTTGGACGTCTGCATCACCTTCTCGACATCTGCCCAGAAGGTGTCGTTCAAAATGGAATGCGTCGCCTTCACAAACAGATCGCGCAGCGAAGTGTGCACGATCGCTGGCTTCCAGTCGTCATCTGTCACGCACGCACGCAGCGGTCAATACAACCCCTGCAGGCTTGACAGCATGATGAAGTTCGTGGCAAACCGGGTCGCACCCGGTTTTGACACTACACCGCCATTGGAGTAGTGGATCAGGAGGTCCCGCACCCGCGAATGGTTTGTGAAGGACTTTGCAAGCTCTGATGCCCTTTTCATAATTGCACCGACCCACCCGATCTTCGCGAAAGACTCGAACATCAAGTCGAGGGAGTGTGCTGTGCACGGGACAGAGAAGATGTGAGGGTAATCTGCTTCAATCATTCGCCCCGCGGCTGCGCAAACAGCAGCACTGTCCATAATGACCCCCACCACTGCCTCCGCACCTATCTCCTCTAACGCCCTCTTCAGAATGGTGTAGTATGCTGAGGTGCCCTTGTTGTGCCGTGACATACACACACTTCTCCAAAAGATGGAGCCTTTAGGGAAGGAGACCATCACGTTGATGTGTGGTCTTTGTCGGCGATCTGTCCAACCATCAAGCTCCAACATGCAGCCAGTGGTTGGCCACTCCTGTTGCAACTCCTCCACCCTCTTCCCGACCCTGCCCCTTGTCACTTCGACCCTCTTCGCCCTTGCGTTTTGGAACTTCGCGTACCTGAAGCCTTTCGGCGCATTCATGAGCGCGTGCACCATTTTGTCCCAGTACTCACTCTTCATCATGTTGAACGGGATGCATTCGGCCGTCATCCAGTCGTCTATTGAGCGCTGCGTTTGCTCGTGTGCCGTAATGACAGCAGCGCTGTCCGTGATCGTTGTCTGGCGGAGCCCAACTACAGACCCCGATGGATCCACAACTCCTGCCGCCGACGTCCGCGGATTCATCTGGTGGAGCCCTGCCGCAGACCCTGATGGATCCAGAACTCCTCCCGACGTCCGCGGAGCATTCTCATCCTCCGATGACTCCTCCATTTCGGGCTCTCCCATATTCGCCCCCAACTCGGACCTGGCAGCCGACCTACCCTTCTCCCTCCTCAAGTACTCCTCTTTTGGTATAGTAGCTCTGAGGCGCCCAACGTCGCATCTCGACCCCTTGAGGAAATGTTCCCTTGCCCTGCTGGCCGTCCCAGCCACGGGCTTGTCGCAGTAATTGCATACACATTTTTTGTTCCCCTTATCGGCTTGCCCACTGATTCCCACTTCCCTGAAGTGTTTCTTCACGGCCTGGCTACTGCTTTTAGTCATCCTGCACGCACACAAAGAAAGCGAAACGAACAACACTTGTTAAAGTCGGTTGACTCCCTGGCCCTCAATTCTCTCCCTCGTCCACTCTCCATTCACTCTCGTGCCCTTAATGCTCTCCATCCTCCACTCTCAATTCACAAAAAYCAACCGTTCAATCAATCAATCAATCAATCAATCAGTCAACCAATCAATCAACCAATCAATCAACCGGTCAATCAATCAATCAGTCAAGGAAACAGTCAATCAATCAAACTGAATTAATCAATCAATCATTCAATCATTCAATGAAGAGAAGCCTTCGTTGATAGATGGATTGCGTTGATTGATTGATCAGTCGATGGGTTGACTGATTGATTGATGGTTTGATTGGTTGGTGGATGGTATGATTGACTGATTGATTGATTGATCGGTTGATTCTTTCATTGAACTTGATTGATTGATTGATTGATTGATTGATTGATTGATTGACTGATTGATTGAGCGAGTGAGGGATAGAGTGATTGATGGACTAAGTGGTCGATAATCGAACAGTTTCAAAATTTCGACAGCACAACAGCACCCCATTTGGGGTCAAATGGTTGCCAAAAACAAGAGTGGCTTGCTGACAATCAACCGAAGAATCAATCAATCAATCCCAAACGTAAAAAGATGCAAACAAAAAATGAACAAAAGGACAGACAAACTCTACGTAACAAATATGGAGGGAAAAATAAAAGGAACGAGGATCAAGTTCGTTCAATGGTTCAACCATTCAAACAAAAAGAAAGAAAGTAGAAACAGAGAGAGAGAGAGAGAGAGAGACCCGTAACCCCAACATCGAACGGGACGAGAGAGAGAGAGAGAGAGAGAGAGAGAGAGACACGTGACCCCAACATCGAACGCCCGCAGAGAGAGAGAGAGAGAGAGAGAGAGACGTGTAACCCCAACATCGAACGGCCTCAAGATCGAACAAGACGAGAGAGAGAGAGAGAGAGAGAGAGAGAGAGAGAGAGAGAAAGAGACCATTAAGTGCAGTATCTGCTCTGATCAGTTTCATATCAGATCTGTGGTCCATCGAGACTTCAAAAGAAAAAAAAAAAGCACATGCACGCACAAGCACATGCACGCGCGCACGGAAGAGAGAGAGAGAGAGAGAGAGAGAGGCACGTGTAACCTCAACATCGAACGGTTGCAAGATCGAACGGCCGCAAGATCGAACACGACGAGAGAGAGAGAGAGAGAGAGAGACCCGTAACCCCAACATCGAACACGAAGAGAGAGAGAGAGAGAGAGAGAGACCCGTAACGGAGTAACCCCAACATCGAACGGCAGCAACATCGAACGTGACGAGGGAGGGAGGGAGAGAGAGAGAGAGAGAGAGAGATTTAAGAAGAAGAAGAAGAAGAAGCGTAAATGAAATGAAGGAGGCCGAAAAGAATGAGAAGAAACATAAGAGACTGCACCCGTCACTTTCAAAAAACTCGGCTTCTTCGCATACAAAATATTCTTGAAGAACAGAACGGGATACCTCGACGTGTTTCGCTGCCGGCGTCCAGCGGCAAGCTCATCAGGAGGCTACTTACTACAAACTCGAAGCCCATGACTGTATGACAGGGAGCAACGTTCTTCGCTTAAATACTTACTCCGTGAGTATCTGTGCACATTCTACCTGGAGATCTTCAAGCCTACCTACCCTACTCCCTCTCTCTTTTCGTCACTATGCTGTTCCGCTGTTATCCTTCCTTCCTTCTCATCTCCGTTCCCTTCCCCATGGAGCATCCGCGGATCCATGCGGTCTCTTCCTATTGGTGGTCCTCTTTGCCCGCTCTTTTTCTCGTACTTCCTCGGCTTTTCCATTCTCCTTCGTCGTATTCTCTCCCCCCCCTCGTAATCCTCAGCCTCGCTACTTCCTCCAATACCTGTCTCTTATACACATCTAGATGTGTATAAGAGACAGCCCTCTCTCTTTTCGTCACTATGCTGTTCCGCTGTTATCCTTCCTTCCTTCTCATCTCCGTTCCCTTCCCCATGGAGCATCCGCGGATCCATGCGGTCTCTTCCTATTGGTGGTCCTCTTTGCCCGCTCTTTTTCTCGTACTTCCTCGGCTTTTCCATTCTCCTTCGTCGTATTCTCTCCCCCCCCTCGTAATCCTCAGCCTCGCTACTTCCTCCAATACCGCCTGTTAAGGCGAGGGCGATGGTGCTTCCATCTCTCGCAGCGACTGGGTGTTTCGGCTTCAATATCCGCACTTGCTTTTAACAAACACCCAGATCCGGCGCTAATGCCGGGCTCTCAATTCCCCACCCGCCTTTTTGATCTTTTTCTCTTAATCGGACCAAGGAGCTCACGAACCTCAGGCTTCAGATTTCAGCGGATCAATTTTCCTTCCCTTAATTCCTACTTAAAATATGGAAAAACGGACATTTAAACAACCCGTTGGACCTATATGCCTCTAAATGAGAAAATGAAAAGCAAAACAAAGGAAAAGGGAGAGAACAACGTTTGATTGCATAGTATATGGCTCCCAAAACAGGGAGAATGAACCAGCCCGGAAACCAGGAAAAAAACAGGAAAAAACGTTTGATTGCATGGCTTAGCTCGTCAGTCCTATAGCTCTCTAAACTGAAAAAAAGAAAAGACAGGAAACCGACTGATTACATAGATTGCCCGATGCCCTTAATATTCCAAAAACAATACATCAAAAAAGTTGCATAGGGTCCACACGCACTGAGCCTGTTCGCAACAGACACTCCTGATCAGATCTGCAAATACTTTACAACTCCGGGGTACGTCCTGGAGAGGAGACCTCCCCAGGGACCGCCGGAGACCTTGGCGAATCTTGCCAGGGATGCGAGAGAGAGAGAGAAAGAGACCCGTAATGGCGTAGCCCCAACATCGAACGGCAGCAACATCGAACGCGA